ACGTCTTCAGTTTGCAGCGCACATTCGCAGATAGCTTAAATAATTAATGTGCTCCCTGCGAAATATGTGCACAAGTTGCACATATAAATTTCTCTATTTTGAGTGGCAGAAAGCGAGAAAAAAAGGCTGCAACAATTCGCATGGCACGTGATATTGCTTGGGTGGCAGCAGTCAGCAGCAGTCGGCATAAATTTTGTGGCACAAAACTTCACCAGCTGCGAATTGTTCGCACATTGACCAGAGAGGCCCAGAAGTCGAGCCAAGAAGAACTCGGAGACTGACAACTGCCACCAAGTTGCACGTTAATCGCTCGGGGCTGCCTTTTGTCGCTGCAAAGTCTCCGTTGAGGTTTTGCGGTTTGCTTCGTCTACGGCTTTTTGTTGAAGCGGACGCATATTTGATTTTATAACTTCGGACAACGACGCACATAAAACGAGGTCATCAATGAATGCCGCACCGGCAAAGGATTCAATTTGATTGGATTGTGTGTGGGTGTGTGTATGTGTGGGTGTGTGTGTGTGTGTGGCAAGTGGCGTGGTATGATTTAGCAGACAAACCCAAACCAAACTCTTCACTCGACTCGACTCGACGCTCTATCGGATTGGGAATCACGTAATGGTTAAGGTTAACGGATGTGTTGCCTTCTCTTTACTGTGCATGTGTGTGTGTGTGTATGTTTTTTTTTGTGCCCATTGAGCTGCATTTTAAATGCTCCTGAATGCATAAAAATTCCAATGGCATTGCCTGCGAGCTGAATGAAATCGAAACTTATTAAATATTTAGCTGATTCCTGCTGCCAGCCAACCAACCAACCAACCAACCAACCAACCTGCCAGCCAGCCAGCCAGCCAGCCAGTCAGTTAGCCAGCAAAAAATGAGTTTACATTTCTTGTTTGACTTTATGATAATGCGTGTCGCAACTCACGCAGAAAACGCGCACAAAACGCTCGCAAAACGCCTGTGAAACGCCAGTGAAACGCGTCGACTTTTGCATAACATTTTGTTGTACAACTTTTCAGTTCTGTGAAGCGCCTGTTTGGCCAGTTTATGAAGCGAAAAAAACAAAATGAGAGACACCTGTGCCAACAGCTCCTGTCAAAGCGGACTGACCTTTTGTTTGGGCATTGCATCAGCCATGGCGCCTCATCAATTTTGCATGCCTGGGGACACTGTGCAGCTGGCTGAGCTGGTGACGGATACAGCTACGGACCTGAGCATATGAAACAATCAACACACATTTAAACGATTTTATTAATTTATTCAACGCATTGCGAGCGCTTCGCTTAAATGCTTTAATTGAAGATTAATGATTTGTGTAAACGTAAACCTGTTTGGGTTTCTTTTTTTTTTTAAAGCGAAGCCAATGGGCGTGTTCAAAGAAAAATATTGGAAATTTCGATTACTTACATTATTATGAGCAAAGGGAAATAATTTAATTGGTAAATTTATAAACAAAAATATGCAAAGGAAAAAGGAAAATTTAAGAAGACGATATCTTTTTGTTTCATGACAAAGCATTTTTAATACATCATTTAAAAATCTATATTATCTAAATATATGTAATTTAGTCTGAATAGATGTAACTTAACTTATCCATAGAGCAACGAGAGTTGTATAAACTCTCAGGCCGAATTTTGTCTAATAATATTATCAAACAGATTTCATTTCCTCGCTCTCTCTCCCTCCCTCTCCCCCTCTCTTTTCAAATATCGCACAACTTTCTCCCTGCATTACAATTAACATTGATCAACGGCATAAATAAGGACACGCGTCTTTATTTTTGTAACATTTATTGCCGTAAATCGCATAAATTAGCAGGATACATATGCAGCAGCAGCAGCAGCAGCACCCACAGCTCAACTGCCAACAATTTTACACAATCCCCCCAATCACCTGTGCGTGCTGAGTCAGTGAGAGCTGAGCAGACAGCCAAAGAGAGAGAGAGAGAGAGAGAGAGAGAGAGACATACACAGACACATGTGAGATGCTATAAAATTTTCACATATTACTAGAAATTCATGGAAAATAATGCAATAAAAATTCACAGCCGAGCGTCGACTGCGACGCGGTTACAACTGGTTGTTGGCTGGGGTTGTGACTGTGTCTTAAAGGCCGTAATCCCCACACACAGAGACACATGAAGTGCCCAGCTGTTTGTGTGTGTGTGTGTGTTGTTGGCTGCTTGACATTTGCTTTCCTTTTAATGCGCTTACAAAGAAAGTATATCGAATTTGACATGAAATGTGTAACGCAGGCTTTGCTCTTTTGGGAAAAGGAAATATATATGTATGTAGTATATATAGTATAGGGAAATATTCTATTATAATTATTATTATTATATAAATTCCTCTTTATTATATTTCTATATTAGGCCTTAAAAATCATGTTGAGTTCAGATTTCATTAAATAAGTTTAGATATTAAAGTTCTTTGAAGAATCCTAAGTTCATAAAAAATTTCTTGACAACTCTTATGAGTCTATCTATAATTTCTAAGTGATTTATCTGTGCAGCAATTCTATTATATTAAATTATGATATCTAGATATATATAAAATATATAATATCAGGAAAGCTTACATCTATATTTATATCATAATATGATATCATCTACTTATCATATTTGTTTCATCTTCAACTCGTAAAATATTTAACTATAATCAACTGTCATTTACTTTGCCAATCTTAAAATAATATTAACCTTGCCATCAGCTAGAGCATTCAGTTGTCGGTCATGCTGTGATTTAGCCATTGCTGCGCTGTACTTTTTTTTTTGCCAGACAAATTTTGTACGGTTTTTTATTTCATCAAGAGATTTGCCGCACTTGAGTAGAGGCGAGGCGAAAGCCACAGTGGTAGGAGGAGGAGGAGGACGACGACACTTTGGTTACGCTCCAACTCCTTGGCGCACTTGAGGTAGCACTTTTTCGGTTGGTTGGATTAGTCCGCGGGCAGCGCCAATCCGCATGCCATCATCATGAGCCGGCACAACTTGTGATTCCAAGATAACAGAGAATGTAAATAAAACAAGCAAACCAACAAGGCTGAAACATGTAAAAAAATGTAAAAATGTTTGCAAAATGCCCAGGAGATGCACATAAAATATTTAACAGACGCTGCAGAAAAACAACAGCAGCGGGTGAAGTGGAAGGGGGGGAAAGAAGAAAGGGAAGTAGGAGGGGAGGCAATAGAAGTTGTAGCGAACTTTTCTCAACTCCCCGCCGTGTGGGTGTCATGCGTCGTCTTGTTAATCATTTGTTGTGCCTGTTGCAATAATCTGTTAGAGCCGCCACGCCCACTTTGGCTGGCTGCTGCTGCAGCTCTTTGGCTCATTAAAAAATGATCGTCAACTGGGGATATGCGCGAGATGAGAGAAATGGGAGAGAGTGAGGGTGCGAGGGGCGTGTCTGGGGTAACAAGTTCTTAACAACAGACGAAAGTCGCAAAGTTTTTCATAAAAAATAGAGAAAGAAAAAAAAAATATCAAACAACAACAGCAATCCTGAAAGTTTCCTTCCGCATGCCCAAGTGACACATTTCCAATTGCAAGTTCTTAACCCGAGGGGCATACTCAGACTGGGGCTGATGCTGTTTTAGCTGTTTATTATTGACTTACGCGACGTACAAAATCAAAGTTTAATTTCTTGGCAATCTGCTAACATAGAAATCGCTTTACTATATAGTATATTTAGAGAGATATAGAGAAGATTAAAGTAAATTTATTGAATGGAAATTATTAATATAGATAGTGATAATATAGATAATGATAATTAACTCACTTTTATTTTTATTTATTTATTTATTTTTTTGTTATTATTTATAATACTGTTCTAAGAACCGTTAAAAAAATATATATATATATCAAGGTCCTCAACACTTTCTTATCAACATCATGTTACTTTATCTTTAGCTTTATCTCTATATGAATACAGCATGCCCAAATGTAGTTATTTATGTTTTTTTTTTTTTTCAAGTGAATACATAATATTTACTTCTGTTTTTTATCAATGCTAAATGGGCTATTCAAAAAATTTGTAATATATAAATTATTAATTTCTAGAGCAGCTCTATTAGCATAATTTGAAGACAGAAACTATCAATACTTTCAAACTGTGTTTCATTTATATAGCTCAAAATGTTTCAATGAAATCTCTCATATATATTTATAATATCTATGTGCTTTAAATTCTCGCCATCAGCCAAATTCCATATCCATCTATTTCCATTTGACATCTCTTTTTAATGTTCTCCTTTAAGAGCTCTTTCGCATTGCTCCACCCACTCGTAAAGCACATAATAAGCATCAAATTATACGCCTCTCCTATTGCAACTGTGCCACATCATACATCATGCTCAAGTTCCATATATGTATATGGACAACACCTAGAGAGAGTGTGAGAGAGACAGCTAGATGGAGAGGTGGGGTGGTTTCCATGCATACCTGAACAGCTGTTAATGATAAGCATCGTATATTATCTTAGCTCTCTAGCAGCCCTCGGCAGACTGCGATGTGTGCGTTACGAATTAAAGTAATTCGCTTAACTTAAGCATAGCTGTAAACCAGGCCATCAAACAAATAATTTCCCGTATGTTTGTCGCTTTTTACAGCCCTCCCCACCCAGCACCCCAATACTCAAGCACCCGCTTAACAAAAACCAAGCGGACATAAAAAATGATGTATTGTTTTAAAATGTGTTTTTTGCTTTTGTTGTTGTTTTTTTTTTTTTTTTTTATGTGGCATGCCTCTTGATTATGTGCGAAGTGCAGCCAGTTGACAGTGGCTGTGTGTGTATGTGTGTGATAAATTTGTGTGTGTGTGTGTGTGTGTGTACTCCCCTGTCGCAACACCTTTACTACAGGAAGCAGAAAAAAAAAAAAAAAACGCAAACAAGTTGCACTTGAAACTTTGCGGCTAACAAGCGTCTAACAATTTCCCTGCGACTCTGCATCAGCTCACACTCAACTTCTCTGTTTGCTTCTCTGTCTCTCTCTCTGTCTTGCAGCTTTGACCGCGACCAGCCCTTCACATTTCAATTGGGCGCCGGACAGGTGAGTTAAACGTTTCAACTCGAATGCCGCAACAAAATTTGTGGAGAATTTTGGCGAGAGTTCACACATTAAATATATTATTTTCATGCACAGGTGATTAAGGGCTGGGACCAGGGTCTGCTCGATATGTGTGTCGGTAAGTAGAACTGAGCCCATATAGTACCGTTACATATATAATATATATATATTGTCTTATCTATTGATTAGGCGAGAAACGTAAGCTGACAATTCCCCCAGAGCTGGGCTATGGCGATGCGGGTGCCGGCAATGTGATCCCACCGAAGGCTACACTGGTCTTTGACGTGGAGCTGATCAACATTGGCAATGCCCCGCCCACAACGAATGTGTTCAAGGAGATCGATGAGAACGCCGACAAGCAGCTGAGCCGCGAAGAGGTAATCGTCTATGTATGGATCGCACTTTTATCATTTTGTAATTGTTCTACACTCTATATGTGATATATCCGTGGGTCTCGGTTCGTTACTAACCTCATTCTTCATAATGCCCTGATTGCTATGCCCTGTAATTGCTATAATATGTCGGTTGGTTTGTTTCGCATGTCTGTTTAGGTCAGCGAATATCTGAAGAAACAGATGACCGCTGTGGAGGGTCAGGACTCTGATGAGCTGAAGAATATGCTGCAGGAGAACGATAAACTGGTCGAGGAGATCTTCCAGCATGAGGATAAGGACAAGAATGGTTTCATCTCGCACGACGAGTTCTCGGGTCCCAAGCATGATGAGCTGTAAGTCTGCGGCTAGGACAAGTGCTTAAGTTATAATCTATCTATAACTATCTATGTATAAATACCAATACCAATACAACAACAACAACAACAGCGACACCAACAACACCAACAGCAATATCAACTAAAGCAACACGCGACACATGAACATGAGACAACATCAACCACAACAACATATTCCAAAAAAACATAAACAAAAACAATGAAAGAACGAGTGGACTGACGCCCCTTCAATTACCCCCTCAAATGCTGGGGCGCTTTTAGTGTTTTTTGCCCGCCCTTCAAGAGAAAACAAAACAAAACTATATGAAATTATTTTTGTTGGCAACATCATTCATATTTGTATATACTACTACACCATATATATACATATAGACATATAGTATATGCATAAATATAGAATGTTAAGCGATTTATTGTAACAACTCTTCCACTTCGAATCTGTGCTCCGGTTTGGTTTCCTCTCCTCTCACACACACACACGCAACAACAACTGGACGAATGCTCAATGCCCTTCTAGACGGTAGTTTAAGCTAACTGAAGGGCCGAATTGGCGTTGAATGATTTTTATATACATTTATAGGTTGTTATATTCAAGTTTGTAACTTATTTGTGTAACGTTGTGTCTGCCAATTAAACATTTTTTTACAAATTGTGCGTAAAAGTGGAACATTAAATTAAATAAACAATTATCACAATTATTTAATAATGCGAATTGTGTTTTCTTATGGGAATTGAGGTTTGTGGATTTTCTTTTTTTTTTTAAGTATTAAATTTTCAATTTGTGACTAATTTTTTGTATCTCAAACAAAAATCTTAAAATTTCTAACAATTTCTTTGAACAATTTTTAAAATATAACAAAATAAAATAAAACACCAATTGATTTTAACAGTTATATAGTCATTATTTATATTCAAATCGAAAATATACAGGGATATAATAAAGAGAACATCATGTACAAATATTATTATCTTTTCTAGATGTTACCCATTTATCGTAAAGAAAGTTGATGTTTTAGGTTATTTTTCTTTTAAAAAGTTGCGAAAAAAAGACTTGTTTAGAATATGAAAAGGCTGCCAAATGCCAACACTGAATTCTTGTCTTCGTTTTGTTTATCAAACATTGAAAATTACAAAAATATTTGCATCGGCTTATGAAGGTACACAGAAACAGAGGCGAGATAAAAACAAACAAAACACCGATAGTATACATATATAAATATTGTATAGCATGTACTAATTATATACAGTAATTGCGCCGTCGCATTGCAGCCGAAAGGAGGAGAGTCCGTTTACGTTGTACGATTAACTGGATGGGGGGTGGGGCGGGCAACACACTTGATCGCTTTATAGGATTATGTAGCTAGGCATGGTTAGAAAGTATACGAAAGTATATGCAGCTTGTATTGTTGTATTGAGTTCGATGTCCTTTGAGGGAGGAGGAGGAAGAGGGATTTTTTGGGAGGGGCAGAACAGCAATTGCACTACAGCTTTTAGGCGTTTAGTATATAGAAAACTAGCTCCAATATAATAGGATCCTGAATGCCAGACGATTCGCCATGCAGTGTGGCTATCAGATGATTATCGAGCGCATTCATATAAAGCGGCGGCAGCTTCGAACCACGTGCACCCGCCTCATAGCAGACCTACAAAAAAAAAAAAGGTGATACATAAATAATTAACACCTTAGAGAGTGGGTTGCTTACGTTCTCCTGATCGAGTGTGGCTCGCAGTGCGAGCTTATTAATGCCCGCTGCGGCGAGTAGATCGAGGAATGGTAGCAGCGCCATCGAAGCACTTCGTGCCAGCTGCTCGGCAATGCGTGTGATGTCCGCATAGTTGCCACCATTTGTGGCATACCAATCCTCACACTGTAAAATGGAAATTCATTAATATTCATTATATATAATGCAGAATTTAGTTGAGTTACTTTGATTATAAAAATATCGCTCAAACGAATTGCATAATTGGTATTGGAATAGTTGAAGCTGGCATGCACACGCATATTGGCCACTCCATCCATGGGCTTCTCATCAATGGGCGACTTGACGCTGGAATATATGGTATGTTTAGGAATTAGTATAGTGGCTAATTAACAGTTAGTTCACAATCTTACCCCACGTTGATTTCACGATCATTGTCCACCCACTTGATGCTGACTATTTCACTCTGCTCATCGGTGGCACCGATGGGGCCGCACACGATGTCGATGTCGGTTTGATTGCGCAGCGCCTGACGCACCTCCTCCATTTTGGCGGGCATTATCTGAACCATCAGGCCGTCCTCGACAATGCTGCACTTGCCGGAGAGTCCGCTGCTGCTCTTGAGCGCCTCGTTCAGCACAAAGAAACTGGCGCCCGTCACCTTCCTCGGCTGGCCTTGTATATTGATTGCCTGCGTGGAGTAGGCGTACATCTCGGAGCGATCGTCGTTGATGTTCTGCATGCAGACCAAATGGCCATCGGCCACCTTGGAGAAGTTGCCGGCGAATGCAAGGATGTGATCGGTGGAATTGTTGATCGCCTTGATGACATCGTTCTGCCTGTAGCGCGGTATGATCACAGTCGTCTGCCGATCCTCCATGTGGATGTAGAGGCCGCGTATGGCCGGCAGCGAGTACGTATAGTTGCGAAAATCCACTAGAAAATTGATAATCGTCTGCGCTATCTCGCCGTAGACCGACTCACGATTCCGCACCGAGATCAGTGGACAGGGATAATAACGATACTGAGCGCCCAGGCGCAAGATGAGACGCAATGGCAGGACCTTGGCCCACGGCACCTCGTGCCGATGGATGAGCACGGCCACCAGATACGGACTGTCCGGCACAATGACGCCCTGCAGGCACTGGTACGTCGGCCGGATGTAGATGAAGCCGCCGTGCTCGCGCGAACCCAAAAAGTTGGCACTACGCGGACTGCTGAAGGCCAGCTCCTGTGTGCTGGAGCGCGCCTGCTCCGCCTCCACGTAGATCTCGTACAGATGCTGGAATATATCACGCGGCACAGTCGGCCCGCTATTGGCAGCCGCCGGCGGTGGCTTAATTTCCAGCAGGATAATCAACTCATCGTTGCCCACATGATGCAGACCCGAGGTGGTAAAGTTTAGCACCCAGCGATTCATGCAGCAGCTCACTGAGAGAATGGACAAGGATTTTAGGAGTAGGCTACGGATGCATAGGCTGAATTACTCACTGTTGACTACCTTGACCAGCACATAGAAATTGTTCTTCACAATGAACTTGAGCGTCTCGCGCTGCAAACGCTCCAGAAGATCCGCATCGTTGCGCACCTCCTTGTATTCCACATCACAGATGCTGCTGCTGCTGCCGTTGCTGCTGATGCAGATGGGCGGCAGTGCGTTCTCCTCGTAGGGTATGAAACAGCCCTGGGCATCGCTGGGCGGCAGCTTGCGTGAACGCTGCGGCTCGACCTTGCGACGCGGCGAGGTTTGCGCTGTATTGCGACCAGCTGAAAGAGCGAAAGAGAGAGAGAGAGAGAGAGAGAGTTGAAGCTGCTCCAAGTTGCATCCTCTCCACCTACCGCTAGAGTTTTGGCTGCCCCCGGCGGCCGCTGTGAGCGTTGCCGCCGCCGCACTGGGCGGTATGGAGCCGCGGAATAGCTGCGCCACCAGACCCATGGTGGAGCTATTGTCAATACTGCTGCCGGTGCCGCTGCCGGCGCCGCTGCTGCCACTGGCTGCGCCAGGTGTGGGCGGCTTTTGATTGGCGCTGGCTGCTGCGCCGGCGCCGCTGTTGCTGCGCTGCAGGCCGCGACGCGCATGCTTAGCCTCGCCCCACTGCTGCTCCATGGTGCTGGCCAGCTCGCTGCCCGGCGCAATGCCATCGCTGAACATGACGCTCTTGCGCTTGCGCCCCTTCTTGCCATCCGAACTGGAGGAATTCGAGGAGCTGCCATCCATTTTCTTCAGCACGCCCACGGGCACAATGACGCTGGGCGGCGGAGCACCCTCGGCGGCCACCTGACGATGCGGCGGTATCGTCGAGCAATACTCCATGGGATTATTGGGATTGGGCGAGCGCATGGGCGTGGGCGGCAGCGCCGAGGGCGGTGCACCCGCATAGGCATCCGGGACGCCGCCATTGGCCTGCCGCTCGGTGAGGATCATGAAGCATTGCACGCAGACCCGCGACTCCGGCTCATTGGCGAACTGCAGGTGAAAGCGCTGCGAGCAGCAGACGGAGCAGAGCACCTTGCCGCAGGCACGACAATGATGCCGCCGCTTGATCATCGTGAACTTCTGCTGGCACTGCATGCACTGGCCGGCCATATTGTCGGGCACCCAGATGGGCGGCACCTTGCCCAGATTGGCATGGGGATCACTGTAGCCCACGGCCTCATAGATGGGACTATCGTCGTCCTCTTCGCCCTCTGCAACTACAGCTGCGGCTCCTCCTGCATCCTCGGACTGCGACTGTGACGGCGCTTGATCAGCTGGCGGCGGAGTTTGTCCCGCACTCGCCTGCTGACCTCCATTCAGGTCTAAGGTTTGTGGACGTTGTGGTCGTTGCTCCTGAGTATCGAGCGCATCTGTGGCTACGCTGTCCTCCTCCTCGTCTTCCTCCAGTTTCCGTCCAGACAGCGAATCCGTTTCGCTCGCTGTGCTGCTGAAGGATGAGGCCTCGGCCTCGGCCTCGGCCTCCACCTCAACTTCAACCTCCTCGGCTGCCGTCGCCACGACTGGAGCTGGCTCGGTGGCGCGCAGCTCGGCGAACTCCACTGTGGATGCCTGTGAGAAGTTGTCCACATTCATTTGATCCGCCGAGTTGGTCTCCTGTTCGGAGAGTATGCGCACCGATTCCTCCTCCGTGGCTGGCGAAATAGAGGCGCTTTCATCGCCATCATCGTCCATCATGCCGTGTGGCTGGCGCAGGCAGGAGTCTGAAGAGGATGTGGAGGCAGCAGCTGCCTCTGTCTCTTCCTCAATGTCCGCTTCTACCTCCTGCAGCATGCTGTCCAGCTCCGTGTCTGAGATCTCGTCCATGGTGGAGCAGAAGGTCAGTGGTTGACTACGCTTGAGCGCCTGCTCCTGCTGCTGCTGCTGCAGATCTGGTTCTGCCTGCAGCTTTGGCTGCTGGACTTGAGCTGGATTTAGCTGGGTGACCTGGTGAAGATTGGTTTCAGAATTCAATTTGCGTTCAAGTTGTTTTCACTTACCGCTGGCATATTGTGCAAGTTGTTGCCCCCGCCACGCGCCTGACTCTGCGTTTCCAGCTCCGAGCTCGTCTCCTCGGACAGCTCGTTGAGCACCTTGCCCAGAGCAGACGAGGCGGTCACCTCGCAGGGCAAGATTGACTGCGATTCTGTGGTATTTGTATTAGTTATGGATATGGAGGAGAGACCCGTGGCCAGATCCTCCACTGCAGTCGACGGAGCCACATGTTGTTCGGGCTGCTGATCCAATTCGCTGTTCGCTTTGGGCGGCAGCTCCAGGGCACTGGGCATATCGCTTTCGGGTGGTGTACTCAGCTCCTCTTGCTCCTCCGAGTTGCTCACATTACCGGGCGACGGGCCCGAGGAGAACGTGGAGCAGGATGAGGTGGTCAGCGATTCGCTGGATGAGACATTTCCATCCTTTGACTTTGACTCGCTAAACTTGTTGATGTCCTCGTGCCTGGCCAACTCCTCTTCCTCATAGTCCTCTTCCACCTCCTGCTCTACCACCTCATCTTCCAGCTCAACGTGCTCGGGCTGTTGCTCCTCCTGTTGCTCTGCTGCTTCCGTCTCCCAATTGTAGCTCTCGTGCGCCTGCATCCCGGTGGCCAGCGACTGAACGTTGTTTCGATAGTCGTTGAGGCTATTGAACACCTGCGAGACGCCCACAAAGTTTTTGGCTGCGCCAGCGCTGCCATCACCCAATGGGCGTGACTCACCGCCTACATTTACATTTAAAGCTGCAGTCGCAGCAGCTGCAGCGCTCGTTGCATTGCGGCTCAATTGTTCGTCAGCTGCAAAAGTTTACAGTTAAGCAAAAATTGCCGTTACACATTAGAGCTGATTTCGTACCTTTGAGCTCAGCTTCCAAATTGTCCAGGACCTGATCGATGTCCACCAGATCCATAGTAACTAGTCGGCTAGCATTTAAGCCTGCAACGAAAGACGTAATAGGCAGCTGAGAGCAACTTGTATTTTGGCTGAAAAAATTTTCACAGCTCGAATGGTTGGAAAGAAGGGTCGCAGCGGGGATTTGCTGAGGGGGAACGAACGTAAGTTCCGTCAAACGAGAGACGCAAAATAAGACAACAAAGCAAATTATGATTCACAGCGCTATGGGATGTGAGCCCTGCTGCCTGTCAATCAATTGTCTTATCTGCGTTTATACTGTACATCCATTTTCGGCTGAAAATTAACGGAATTACCTTGTTTGCCCACTTCTTTTTGTTTAATTTTTCTTGCAAAATATGTTCGAAATGGGTGCGCAGTGTGACTGTGTTACGCTACTGCAGAAATACCGACGACTAATGGGAAATTGAATTGAAAAACATAGAGAATTTGCATTTCGTGGTATTATTAAGTGTATTTTAAAAATACCGAATATGCGTGAGCATGGTCTGCCTAAACGTTGTGGGCCCTGTTAGTTAACATTGGCCGTTAACATTAGTCGAAAAAAAGCCGTCGAAGGTGTCGGACGCGGGAGTATTGCGCGTTCTCAGTTGAAGTGTAAAGAAATTTAACAATTTACTACAACGAATTTGTTGTAATTATATTAAATAATGCAGCACACAACGTGCAATTAAATAAATAAGGTGATATACTACGCGAACCGTTTAATATTGATGAAAAACGCAAAATAAATAAATTCGTGTAGTGAARCAAAACGCAAACAAGCAGCAAAAAGTAAAAGAAGAAAAACATAAAGAAGCCGCCACCGCTACGAACTGTGTCTCTCTCTATCAGTGTGTGCGTGTGTGTATGTTTATGTGTACGCGACGAGCGTGGCTGAGTTTGTGTGTGTGCGTGAGTGAGTTGTCTGCGTGTGTAGGTAGTGGTGTGTGTGTGAATGTGGTGGGCGGAAAATCAAGTTAAAGCGCCCTCTATGCCAAACAAATTGCAGCTAAAATCGTTTTCAATTCAAATATTTAAATGCAAAAGCATTTGAAATGTTTGCATTTAAACGCTAGCTACTATTGTAATTGAGTTCTGTGCTCTCTCACCTCTAGTACGCTGCCCACACAGATGCACGTACATGGCGTGAGAGTGTATTACACCAGCGCACATACACACACATACAATCATACAGTCAGGCAGCCATTCGCTGCTGCTGTTCTTCTTCTTCCTCTGCTGGCACCTTTTTGGTTGTGCTCTTGCCCGCTCCGCTGTCTCATTTTATCATTTTTGTTTTGTTGCGCCTCTCTGTGTGCTGCTGCTTCGTGCAGTAATCTTGTTGTTTATTCTCCCTTGCTCCGCCCACCCGCGGCCGCCTCACGAACTGTCGTACTCTCGCGCTCTGGCGCTAGTTGCTTTGATTTAGCCGCGCGCGCACTAAAAATTGCTGTTAATTATTGAAAATTAAATGAATAAATGTGTTATTTATGATTGTCTCTCTCACTTACTATCTCTTGCTTTTTCTCACACACGCAGACGGCTCGCAATTGAATTGTTTTTGTACGCGTTCTGTTTGAGTTTCAATTGATAAATCGCGATTGCTTCGTCGTCGTTCCATTGCCAAAATGTTTCAGTGCGCGAGTGTTGCTTCAAATGAAAGCATAAATCAAATGTATCTCTAACGGGTTTTGTTTTTATCTCATTTTATTGTTCAGCGTGTACCAGTTTTTAAATTGCATTTACAACATATATAACAACACAAATAAGAAGAAGCAGAAGAATAAAAGAAAAAAAAAGAATCACACAAATTTCTAAAGAATTTGAACAAGCGCAATTCAATCTTAGCTCTTTTTACTGCCAATCGCCATTCTATAAACAAATCTGGAATCAATTTCTTGGCAATTGCTGCTGCTGCAACAAACACAACAACAACAGAATCACCCACACAACCAAAATGAAATCAAAGCTGAAAACTGCGCAGTCGATGCTGACGTCGAAGTCGCCGTCGCCAATGCCCAGCAACGGTAAATGGATGCTGGTGTCAGCAATGCTGTTAGTTCTGCTGGCGGCCGCCACCCAAGCAGCTGATGAGGTAAGTGGCAATTGACACTAAGCGGAAATGGAACAGCAGAGAGTGTAGGATCGTCAGGCAATTAAGGGGAATCAGGTGGGAATAGATCACAATAGGCGAAAGACCTTGAACGGCTTAGCTGGAATGAAAGGAATGAGAAAATGTAAAAATGATTAAAGAAAGCCACCAACAATGATAATAAAGAAGGGGAAGAGAATGGAATGTGGTAGAAATGTATAGAAAGAAAGTATGGGAGAAAGAAATAAAATGTAAAATGAARCATAATAAATAACTATAGAAAACTCTATAAATATTATTATATAATTAATGATCTATATGTATATTAGACATTACTAAGAAATGGAATATGGTAGAAGTGAAAAAACAAAGAAAAAAATTTTAAATAATAATATCAATATCGATCTAATGATCTTGATAAAATAATGATCCAAGTTTAACAAAAATTTTATAGAATTAAAATTATTATATGGTAATCTTAAATACTGAACTAAATATAAACCACTACATAGTCATTTATACATTAATAATAAAAATTAGATTACCAGTTATCGAATTATCTTTTTTAGATTATTCCGCATTGTTTCATAAATGTATTTAAAACTATAAAAACAGAATATAAACAAATTTCACGTGCGATTGCATTTGCAATTTCATTCAATGGTTAACAAATTACAATGTTTGCCATGCAATTAACAGAACTCCAATTATTATTTGCTGTAATTAGAAGTAAGTAAATTTTAATTATTGAAGCTGAAATGCAATTTGCAAAACAATTGTCGTTTGCATCAAATTTATATTTATATGTATTAATCTCAAACTAATTCAATTATGTAAAACGTTTAATATTTTTGCTGTCCTAAATCAAAGTCTGCAGCTCTCAGTTTGGTTCGGTTCCTGGAATTCGAATTACATTTCCAGGAATTCCATGCTTCGCAGGGTCTTTTAATATGCAAATATTGAATCGTCTTCATATTGGCCTTAGCTAGATGTCTTACAAATTGGCTTCAAAGAGACAGAGAGAGAGAGGGAGAGAGAGAGAGAGAGAGAGAGAGAGAGAGAGAGAGAGAGAGAGAGTTTCTGAATATGAATATATTAATATTAAAATAAAAAATAAAAAAATATTTATATATATAATTGTTTGCATAATTTTCTAATTTTAATATATTCATTCAAACATAATCTGCCAATCAAGTTAGTCAACATGTTTTACCTCAGTAATATCAGGGTATCATGTGCTGCGACTTCTCTGCATTCTATTTACTTTGCTTGTTTTTTCCCCATTAGATTGTTATGAAATTTTCTAGCATAGAGACGATAGATTGAATTTCAATTTCTTGAGATTATGAACTGCTTTAACCTCAATCTGACCGCCTATTTCGCACCTGCATTTGTTGCCGTCTATGCCCTGAGCTACCAGCCCCACCTTCTTCTTCACCTCCACACAGTGAGTCTTACTCCTTTGCACTTTGTTATTTTGCGGCTTGAGGTTTGCTCATTGCTTTGCTGGCTGCTGTCTTTCTCTCTCTCTCTTTCTCTTTCTCTTTCTTTCTCACTCACTCACTGTTAGAATCTGCCACTTAAAATGCAAAATAGAAGAGAATTCTGTCTGAGCTCTGACGCAAACTAATCAATATACAAATTTACACACACACTCACACACATACATAGTCATGCTTATTTATGCATTTACTTACATATATCTAGCTATTTATAAGTGCATGTGCGTGTGCGTGTGTGTATGTGTGTATGTCTGAGCTTCTGTAACAATGAAAACTTTGGCTGTCTGGCAACGCTTGTAATTCGCATTTCAATCGTTGTTGTTGTTGTTGCTGTTGCTGTTGTTTTTGTTTTCTATATTGATGAGACGATAATGAAGAGTGGAAGATGCTGCAAAAAGACATTAAAAGCGTCTGCACTGCTGCATCGCATAAATATGGCAACAAGAATGCTTGTAGCTGTATCTGTGTGCGGTTGTGTGTGTGTGTGAGTGATGAATGTTACACTCGCATACGCATTGCCCATAAGCGCACTCGTCTTCTTCTCCTCTTCCTCTTCCTTTTCATCAACTCCATCTGCTTGTGGCCGTTGATCGTTTGCCAAAGTGTTGGCAAAAGGCATCCGGCTGTTGCCAATTGCAGTAGCCAGTTTTGTTTGTTTGTTTGTTTGTGTGACTTATTGGCCCAAAATGTGCACACAAATACACAAACATACACATACACATAAATAGTACATTGGCCCGTTTCTACTGAACCACTATGCGCCCATCAGTAGTTACTGTTGTTGTTGTTATTGTTGCTATTGTCGTTGTCTTGTTTAACGTTCCGGTCCAGCCCGTTCCCATTGCGCTCTCCTTTTAGTCCGTTTGTCACTTGTTTTTGCCAAAATTGGCCAAGTTGTGGTTATGGTCGAGGCTCTTCAGCTGCGGCTGCTGCTGCTTTTCTTTGCAGTTTTTGTTGTTTCTCTCGCCAAAATCATTTTAAGAACGTGCACAGTAAACCTGATGAAGAGCCCAGGCACGCCAGCAGCCAGAGAGAGAGAGAGAGAGAGGGAGAGAGTAACAGCAAGAGTTAGAGTGTGGCCACAGCTTTGGAGTGTGTGCAGGATAATGTAATGATTTGTGTGCGAATGCGAGCAGACGTAAAAAAAAATACTGACTCACTCACACACACGCACACACAGACTGATCAAAAGGTAGGCAAAGGCTCGCTCACTCCCACTACACGAAGTTTTGTTTTTGGCTCGTTTACGCATTTGCGCTCATTAGCATTATTGGCATGTGTTCGTGACATTGAGTGAGTGTCGGTGAGTGTGAAAGACGCAAAGAGGGAGAGCGAGAGAGAGTTGGAGTGCGTTTAAAGGTGACCAGACGCGTCTAATGCGCACTCAGTTCATCTTTCACTTATATTTACGTGCTGTGCAACGAGCTGTTTATGTTTTTGTTTGTGTTTATGGATTTCCGGGAAGGCGTTTCTTTTTTTGGCACAACGATAAAACGGCTTTTATAATGGTAATATTGTAGGTAATATTTCGTTTTTCTTTTTAGTTTGTAAATGATAACAAACGGGTAGCAAAATCAGCGTATGATGTCACGTTTGATATGTCAGTAATCTTAGTTGTTTGCCTTAATAAATACAAAATTTTGTCGCCGAACTCATCGACTTAATTCATTCTTATATGTATATTACACACCTATACCAGTTGCAGCTATCTCGCTCCCACTCCCCTTTCCATTATTCACGCGTGCGTGTGAATGTGTGTGAGTGTGCGTGTGTTGCTATGCTCATTTGGCTCCGAGTTTCGTCTTGCATTTAATAAGTAGTTGCTCAGTGTTGCTGTTGTTGTGGTTTTTTCAGTTGCTTGCACTCACCTTCGCGCTCATTGACGCCGAAAACGTAAGCGGCGTCGCCGTCGCAGCCGCAGTCGCCATTATTGTCGCTGCTGTTAATGTCAATATGTTATCATCGGCGATTTTTTTAATGCATTTTGCAAATGTCAACGTTTCCCGATGTACGCATACGAACAAACTGTACATTTGCTGCTTGCATTTTGCCCTTTAATCTGGGTTCAATTAAAAATCCCCAACAGATAATCATGGCACAATGCAACGATGGAAATATTTTAAGCACATACACGAGCTAATTGCAAAAAGCTCAGTAATAACCTATACAAACGCACATAAATACTAAATATAACACACACACATGTGAAAAAAAAGAAAACAAGATCACGTTGCAAATGTCAGTTAACGAGTCAAAGAGCAATTGCTTAAGAGAGCGAAAGAGCCMGAGAGAGTCAGAGAGCGCGTTTGTGGATCAATTACACATGTTGTCTGACATGTGCATAAAACAAAATCCAATTAGTAAATTTTTACATGTCAAGACAACATAAAAGCAAAGGCAATTGCAACAAAACCCAAAGGGTTGCCGCAAATAAACCAAAAGCAAAAACATTTGCGGCACCCGCAGCAGCAGGCAGCGCAGGCAGGCAACAAACAGTCAAAATGTGAGGGCGCGATTACAACAGTGTAAAAGAGACAGCGCTGTAAGAGAGCGAGTGAGCCACAGTATAAAAATGTGTGTGCAGGCGGCGAAACAACAACAGCAAACGAGCATAAAATGTAAATATGTATGGATGTTTGTGTGTGTGTGTGTGTGTGCGAGTGTGAGTCAGTATTGGTAGGCAGCAGACAAAGTTGAAGAAAAGAAGACAGCGACAAACGACGTCGCGACGTGGTGGAGTTTCGTGTAGCTCCAAGAGCAGCGACGCCAGCGGCAGAAGCAGCGACGCTAGCAGCGAAGTTGAGGGCTGCTGCTGCTGTTTCTGTTTGTTGTTGTGGTTGGCTCTCGCTTTGCTTTGCTTGAATTTCTGTTTCTGCTGAGGTAAACAACACACACAGCCTCGACAGAGGCAAAGGCAGAGTCAGGCCGTGCCGTGCCGGCAGTTTTCAAGACCCGAGCGTAGACAAACCAAACAGGCAGATTGAACCGCTGCCGCCGCCGACGGCGATGACGACGCCGACGCCGACGCCGTTGCCATCCGTCGCTGCCTGCAAGAAGGGTACGCAATGTCAATAATCATGCGTTGTTGCCACTTTTCATTGTCGTTGTTGTTGTTGGTGGTGATGTTTTTGTAGTTGCTGTTTCATATGTTCGACTTGAGCTTGTTTCATTTTGCGGTTTGCTTGCGACAAGTTGTATCTCTGTTCGATGGCTCTTCCTCTCACGCTGCTTCTCTTTCTAGCTCTTGCAATATGTGTGCGTGAGTGCGTGTGTATAAATATTTGTATATATGTGTGTATATGCATGTGCCGTATGTTTTACTGCTTTATTGGGTTTTACAATTTTTATTTTCGTTGTCCCACTGCGGGATTTTAGTAGCCGTTTCCTCTGCTCACGCCGCAGCAGTCAGGCATGTGTGCGTATATTTTTGGGTTAATATATTAATTGCAATTTTCTTTGTTCATGAATTCTGCTGATGCCACTTTTAAATAATTTACTCTT